CCGCCGGTGAGAGAGGCCTGGGCAGACGGAGATCAGACTCCATCCTCAGCAGCGCTCCGGCGGGTCCCGTCCCTGCGTGGCATTCTAAACCGCGGTGCTTTGCACTCCTAAGGTGTCCTGTCGAGGAACCATCATCAAATGTCCCCAGTGCTCTTCATGAGCGGCTGTCCCCATACGGATAAGGAATTCTGGAGCCCCAGATAGACGGGGAAACAGCTTGCGAGTTGCTGGAAAGCGGCGTCTCTGGGGAGGGTGCGGCAGCTCACAGGAACGTGGCAGGACAGGGAGCAGCGTAATGTTAGACGCCATGTAAACGGCAGAGGTGGAAAGCACCAGGGAGAGCCCCTCCTCTCTCAGAATCAGACCCTGGGATCACCATGTTCCTATAAGCTCACAAACATTTACCTCCCCCCCTCATCCCCCTTCTGTTCTGAAATTTGATTTGTCCTTTTCATATGTGTTCATTTTTTTGATTGTATCCTTTGGTATATATGGTCATGCCAATTTTCTTCCACTATTTGATCTGAGGAAGTGGGTCTGGCCCACAAAAGCTCATCATCTAATAAACCATCTTGTTAGTCTTTAAAGTGCTGCATAGTCCTGTTTTTTGTTTCAGCTACACCAGACTAACACGGCTACATTTCTATCAGCTCCTTCCATAGTCACCCCATAGAGGTCCTAGGCCTGAGGCTGCTTAGCACACCAGCAAGGGTGGGAGTCTGGCCACAGGGGCAGCGTGGGAGGTGGGGGGAGGGAGATACATAGAGATGCCTCAGTTCAGCGGTTCTCAAAGGCTACGTCTAGACTGCAAGCCTCTTTCGAAAGAGGCTTTTTCAAAAGTATCTTTCGAAAAAGCCTCTTTCCAAAAAGAGCATCTAGACTGCAAGCAGTACTTTCGAAAAAGCGAGCTGCTTTTTCGAAAGAGAGGACCCAGGCAGTCTGGACGCTCTCTTTCGAAAAAGCCCAGTTTGCATTCAGGAACGCCTTTTTTCAAAAAACGGGATTCTTCCTCGTGAAATTAGGTTTTCCGCCGTTGAAAGAAAAGCCACGTTCTTTCAATTTAATTTTGAAAGAACGCAGCTGTAGTCTAGATGCAGGAGAAGTTTTTTTGAAAAAAGGCTACTTTTTTCAAAAAAAACCTCGAGTCTGGACACAGCCAAAGTGTGGTCCGTGGACCACTAGTGGTCCATGACTGTGTTGCAGGTGGGCCACGGGCTCAGGGCTTAGCTCCCTTCCCCCCAGCAGTGGGGAGTCTGCACGGGCCTCATGTGTCCAGCCCCACACGTCCCCCCTTGAGAGAGTGGCTTCCTGCTGTGGGGAGGGGAGAGCTCTGATGGTCACAGTCCAGATCCAGCTGTGGGGGAGAGGGGGAGGAAGAGACTCCACATGCTGCAGCTCTCCTTTTCCCTAGCTGGGGAAATGGCAGCACAGGAAACTCACCGGGAGGCTTTCCCTGCTGCTCCCATTGGCCAGAAACCTGGTCAGATCCCCCCGCCCGCTCCTGCACCCTACCTCCCACCCGGTCCTGCACCCATTTGCCATTATGGGTGGTTGGCTGGTGGGCCGTGGAAAGGTTTGCGTTGAGCGACCCACTGGTTTATGTGCAAATCATGCTCAACTCTCAGCAAGGGCGCCATTTATGCAGAGCTGGCGGGGGTGGGTCTGTAGCCTCCCCTAACATTTGAGCCCCTGGATGTCATAGCTGAGTCTGCTTAAAGCGCATGCCCTGGCTCCAAAGGCGGCTCTTACCTGCAGCAGGGCTAGTGCTCCTCCCAGCTTTGCCTTTGGGGCAGGGAGCTTGTTTATAAACAGAGGAAGGCAGCTCAAGATAACAAAGGGCTTGTCATTCAAGGAACTGAAGGATCGTTAGGTGATTATGGAAATATTGCCAGGTGCTCCACTTAAAGATAGGGGGGGAAGAGTAGGAACAAAGAGTGTTGTTCTTCAGAGGTCTGCATTTGAACCACTGCTGCTCCATTTATTCATAAATGTTCCTGCGAAAAGGGGAAACAATGAAGCAGCAAAATCTGCAGAGGATACAAAATGACTCAGAATAGTTAAGTCCAAAGCTGACTGCAAAGAGTTACAAAGGGATCTCACAAAACTGGGGGACTGGGCCATACAAGGGCAGATGGAATTCAGTGCTGATACATGCAAAGTAATGCACATGGAAAAATATAATCCCCGCTATAGATACAAAAATGGTGGGGTCTAAAATAGCTGTTACCACTCAAGAAAAGAGATCTTGTGGATAGTTCCCTGAAAATATCTGCTCAATGTGCAGTGGCAGTCTAAAAAGCTAACAGAATATTGGGAGTCATTAGGAAAGGAACAGACAATAAGACAGGAAATAGCATATTGCCTCTGTATAAAGTCATAGTACGCCCACATCTTGGAATACTGCATGCAGATCTGGTCACTCCATCTAAAAAAAGATACACTGGATCTGGAAAAGGTACAGAAAGGGCAACAGAAATAGTCGGGGGGAAGAACAGCTTTACTATGAGACGAGATTAACATGACTGGGACGTTTTAGCTTGGAAAAGAAATGACTAATGAGTGGGAGGATATGTTAGAAGTCTAGAAAATCATGAATGGTGTTGAAAAATAGCATAAGGAAATGTTATTTACTCCTTCACGAACGTAACATGAGAACGTCACCCGATGAAATTTCTAGGCAGCAGATTGAAAACAAACAACATAAATTATTTCTTCATGGTCAACCTGTGGAACTCTTTGCCAGAGGATGGTGGAACGGTCCAAACCATAACAAGGTTCCAATAAGAACAAAATAAGTTCGAAGAGGATCAGTCCATCACTGGCTACTAGCCATGATGGGCAGGGATAGCGTCCCTAGCCTGTTTGCCAGAAGTTGGGAATAGGCAACAGGTATTGGATCATTTGATGACTGCCTCTTCTGTGCATGCCTACTAAAGCATCTGTCACTAGCCACTGTTGGAAGACAGGATACTGGGCTAGATGGACCATTAGTCTGACCTAGTCTGGCTATTCTGATGTTCTTATTAGAGCCCAATTATATCTGCACCCAGTTGTAACCCACTATACCCCCACTTCTCTTCCAGAACTGAGAAAAAGTCCAGGATTCCTGACAGTGTCTCTCTCCACAGAGTTAGTAACCAAGTAAGAATATATATTAAAATGTAAGACTAGCCAGTGTCCCTTCAGTGACTTGACACAAGATGGCAGACTATGTGAGCATTGGAGCTGAGTAGGTCTAATATTTATTTAATTTTCTTTCTTTTATATAGGCATTAGATACCTACATAACTAATCGCTAAGTTATCTGCCAAAAAACTAGAGTTTTCCGGTGCCTTAGTAATCTCTGGAAAGAAGTGATGTGTGAGGGGGAGGGTGGACGTGGTTTGCCTCCCCTCCCCCAAATTTCTCTTTAACTGGTACTGAGCATGCTCAGTAACACTGCTGAAACTGCTGTCCTCAGTCTACCCCCCATGCTCTCACCCTTCCCCCACCAGGGCATGCACAGGTACTCCCCACCCCCCGTCTGAAATGGTGCCCCTGACTCTCAGACCAGCCCCACTCGGCCAGGGGGGATCTAGGCCTGGGGACTTCTGGAATTTAATTGTAAGCAGCTGCCATCCACAGCAGTCCCTGCAAAGACAAGTGACAAAGGTGCTCAGCCAGCAAGTGCGCGCACACACACACGCATGCACGCACGCACACAGAGGGACTAGCCATGAGGGCTCACATACATGGACTGGAGACCCGGCTGCTTCCTTCTGCTGGAAAGTTAGTTTGGAAAAAAGAAGATTAAGGGGGGACATGATAGCGGTTTTCAAATATCTAAAAGGGTGTCACAAGGAGGAAGGAGAAAATTTGTTCCTCTTGGTTTCTGAGGACAGGACAAGGAGTAATGGGCTTAAAGTGCAGCAGGGGAGGTTTAGATTGGACATTAGGAAAAAATTCCTAACTGTCAGGGTGGTCA